AGAGAGAGAGAGAGAGAGAGAGAGAGAGAGAGAGTTCTCATAAATCACATTTAGTGAGAAGCAGGGTAAGTAATGCCTTAGCTGGCATCTTTCAAGCCGGTGAAGCTTCTCTAAAGAAAGAGATGACATCTGGGAGACTACTAGGGCCTTACAAACAGCCAGAGGTTGGATTGTGTCAGTATTTCTGTTTTTAGTCATTATCATTTCACTCAAATACATTCATTGCTTGATAATATTTGAGCAGTATGCTGTTTTATATGTAAGTGGAATTCATACAGAATCTTTCTACTGTATTTTTCCACCCTCGTCTGCTGGCTGTCTACAGAAAAAAAAAACTTTAAACCAAATGCTGATCATCTATTTTATCTCCTCTTCCAAGAGTCCACCTATAGCTGCCCCAGAGGTGACTTAATTCACTTTTTCCTGTCTATGCATTATACATTTATCTAGACAAGACTAAGTGCTTTAAGAAAAGCAACCAGCTTTTAATTTCCTGGACTTGTGGTCATAGAAGAAAACCTGTGTCTTCTTAGCAGTTCTCACACTAAGAAGTGACTATTGTGATAGCATATGAGTCCCAGGGACTGTATGTGGTGAAGAGGTGTGCCATAGAAACTTCTGTTTGTCTGTTAAGAATTCAACAATTTCAATAGAAATGTATAATTGAAGAGAAAAAATATTGCTGTGTTGCTGCTTTTGTTCCAAAGTCGATGTACTCCCGAATGTCATGCACTAAAAGAGGCCATATTTTTTGTATTATTTGAATTAGTTCTTTCTGTTTTTATCATTATTACTATTACTATTTGTTATTTCAAAGCCAATCATGTGATTCGGAAAAAGAAATAAACCCCTTTTGAATTGCCTTTGACACAGAACAAAATGGCAATGACCTCTTACTGAGTTTCCTTTGGCCTAAATGCAAACACTGAGAAAAAGAACGGTTTCACAACAAGCCAAAGTTCAAAAAGTACATCATGTACTTCAGTGGATCACTACTAGACCATAAAATCATGGGAATGATGTGTGAATGATTTACAAAGTAGTTTAACTGACAAAAAGTAAGAGTGAGTAATCACCTATCATCAACAAGAGCCCCTGTCTCTCTTCTACCACCACTTTTCAGTCCCGGACAGACAGTCTGTCTGGGTCTGTCTGTTGGAGCCTATCCCAGCTGTCATAGGGCGAGATGCAGGGCATGCCATGGACAGGTCGCCAGTCTGACGCAGGGCTAACACACAGAGACAGACAACCATTCACACTCACATTCACTCCTGCATTCACACCTATGGACAATTTAGATTGATCAATTAACCTATCCTCTTCTTGTATCATCGGTTATGAATGTGTGTGAATGTTAGATACAAGGTACTTATGCATGTATAAATGGGGCAATGAGGCAAATTGCATGAAGTGCTTTAAGTGTTCAGGTAGAGTAAGTGCTGTATGAGAACTAGCATTTATTAAAAATCTTAGATGAGTTTAAATCTCAGTAACGTTGACTTCAAAGTCAAGGTCAGAGGTCAAGCTTTCTGAAATTCTTGTGAATGTAATTACTCGGAAACAAGGTGATACAGGATTTTGAAATTGATACCAAAGGTGTATATGAGGAGGCTGGGAAGGTAGCACTGGTAATTGCCAGTATTTTTAGGATCATTGTTTCATATTTCTCACTGTGTATCATTGTTATTCAAAGTGTCTTGCTCCGCCTCCTGACATACTACAAATTCTACAATGTCAGAAACCTTTAAATACATTTATAACAGTAGCACAAGTGAAACTCACATTGCTTGGAACAAGTCACTTCTCTGACCACAATGGAGTCACCATGTTCAATTAACACATGTATGCAATGTACAAGAAAATCCACCTGAGAACTTGGTTGAAGTTAAAGATATATTTGGTTGTTGGTTGATACAGAAATACTTTAACAGTGGCAAACCACACCTTTTATGTACTGACCTGCACACTTTGTTAGTTACATTTTGCTTTATTTCAGCTGCATTCTACATTTATCTCTGTTTTAACCAGCTCCTAAAGATGAAGATTATAATTGATTATCATTAGTTCACAGATCAATTTGTCTTTCCACTCACTCATCGATTCGTTTTCTTGTGTTTAAGTGTACATTTTTATTCAAGCTAATTGACATGAATCAAAAATATCCTTACAAAGCTCCTCGTGGTGCTGCAGGTTTCTTTCGGAGTCTCAAACTGATTTTGCTTGCTTAAAGAAGAATCAAAGAAACACCACCCCTTCTACCTATTTCATTAGAAGCTTGTTTTATATAAAATATTTCTTGTTTAGAATTAATTACATCAGCCCACTGTGTCTCACAAGGGGACAGCACACAGTTTAACATTTGAAGGGTTAAGGATGAGACTATCAGATGGTGATAGAAGCAGTTCATCCTCTGAAACTCCAGGTGGAAAAGTAATTCGGAAGTGCTGCAGAAGGGTGGTGAAGAAGATGAAGACTTCCGTTCTGGCCAGATTTGCTCCGGGACAAACCCTGCGACCTGAAATAGAAAACAAAAAAATACACTACATTTTATCTGATAGTAATCTGGGTCATGACAAGAAGTTGATTACAAACCTGCAGAAAAAACCATGAAGGCATCACGCTGGATAAACTTTCCATCTTTGTCCAGGAAGTGTTCCGGATAAAAAGTGTACGGTTTCTCCCATTTACTCTCATCAGACAGAACAGAAAACAGGAAAGGATACACAGCTGTCCCCTGTTGAATACACAAACCAAACTTTTTTCCTCCCTTTTTTAATATGTATTCACAGGATATTACACAAAAATCAAATACTATTTTTTAGCTGTGACTTCAAAACAAAATTTCATCTGGGACAAAATGAGTTTTTGAAAACATCCTTGATTCATTTAATCTAGCTTAAAAAAAATCAAGCTGATGAACATTTTTCACACTGTTGTATTCTATAAATATTGATCACAGAATATTTCCTCCTTGATGCTGGAACATGCTGACTACTGCAAATTCCATGAAATGTTGATCTTCAATTTGATAATCAAACACTGAGAGAAAGAATCATTCAACTCCCTTTTTCCACATCTGTGACGATGTTTTAGTAATCAAAAATATGATTATTTTTTAAGCTTCAATATATAATAAACACATCATTTGTTTTCTGATATATTTTACCTTCTTAATGAAGTGACCTCTAAAGGTAATGTCCTGTGAAGTTCTGTGAGGAAGCCCCAGGGCAGCAACAGCTGTTAGCCTCTGTGTCTCATGGATGACAGCATTGGTGAAAGGCAGCTCTGTCCTGTCTTTAAACTGAACCTGACGATTTCCCACTACACTACTTAGCTCCTCCCGGACCTTCTCTGGAAGATGAAAGGGCTCGAAGGATGTAATAAATCTGACTTCAGTGTAACATAAATTTTTGTTGTTTGCAAGCACTTTGAACATTTACAGGTTCTTACCCTGTATCTTTGGATACTTGGCCATAAGAAAAAGTCCCCATGTGACTGTGCGTGCTGATGTTTCAGTGCCAGCAACAAATAAATTCATTATTGTTATCAAGAGGTTTTCATTGTGGAAATGACTGGTGGTAATTCCAGATTTCTGCGTATAAAACCAGAAGTTATTCAACAGCTGAAGCTTTTGATTATGACACAGATTCACATTGCTGTGTTAAACAGATTTCTATTCACCAGTTGGGCACAAGCACCACCAGGTTAGGATAACGTGTTCACATTATTGCCATTGCTCTTTAAAAAAACAATATCAGCATTGTATAAATTTTTGTTCCTCACCTCCAAATTGTCTTGGTGAATCCAAAAGGCATCCACAAATCCTCTGCACATCTTTGGATCGAGAGTTTCTTTCAAATGACTCACCAATTTCCTCTGTTGTTCCCTATTGGCTGCAAATGCTTTTTTGAATTCATTTGGGTAAGAGAACCATTTGCCAATCCACGGGACCATGTTATAAAGCTGTAAAAACCCAAATGCATCTGTGTTAGTATTTAAAAGGGCAAGCAAATGTTTGTTCATTTCATAAGAAAAAAAACTAATGTGTCTGAAAGTAGTTTAAAGGATTATGGTTTGTTACGATTTTATTTTTAAAATCAGAAATGTCAAGTAAGGGGGGTAACCGTGCCACCCTCCAGTGTAATTTAAGTTTACTGGTTAGTTCTGAGGTTATTCTTATTACATCATGAGGTTTTCTTATGAACACTTTAGTTTCTTGTCTATTGGGTTTCTGTTGTGTCAAAGGCTACGTTCACACTGCGGGTCTTAATGCTCAATTTCAATTCTTTGATCAAATACAATATTTTTTTGTCTGGTTGTTCACACTACAAATAAAATGTGAAAGCAAACGTGTTCTAGTGTGAACGGTTCACTGCTCTCAAAGTGCCCGCATGCGCAAAAGAGACGTCACACACAACGTGCTCTGTTTATGGCAGTAAAATGGCGGCTACAAAGCTAGTAGGTGTTGTTCCAGGAGTCTATCAATTTCTGCACAGTCGCAACCAACAGAATTTTGACAAATAATTAGAGAAAGAAGGACACTGAGAAAAAAAGAGTGCCCGTGCTTTAACATTGGCCTTGTTTGGAGCAGTGGCTGCTACCTCCACTCAGAGGTTTGTCTTCTCCGGCGCTGATAATTGGCGTCTTGTGTCAGTGACATAAAAGACGGATTAAATGTGACATGACCATTCAAAGAGCAGTTACTTTCTAAAACATCAGATATGTATCGGATTCAGTACCACATACGAAAGTGACCTAAGTTGCATTTGAAAATACCGAATTCCTGCTGTTCAAACTGTCATACCATGATCGGATATGGGTCGCATAGGGTCAAAAAAGTCGGATTTGATGTGCTTTCGTCTGCAGTGTGAACGTAGCCTTAGTCCTCTGTGTGTTGGTGTAATGTGTGTGTTGCTGTGTGTCCTTGTGTCTCCCCTTTTTGTTTACATTGTCATTGGTCTCCACAGTGTTTGGAAGGTTACTTTTAAAATGTATTCCACTACAGATTACAGAATACATGCCCGAAAATGTATTTTGTAACGTATTCTGTTACATTAGTCAATGAGAGTAACATATTCTGAATACTTTGGATTACTTAATATATTATCATGCTGTTTACAACTACCATACATGAATGTACTATTGCTGTGTGATTTATTACTATTACTGAAGGCTACTCGCCGTACCAATACCAACTAGATTTTTAAATCTTAATATAAAATGACTAACAGTAGGGTGGACATTAGGTAAGGCTGCACTTTTTGCAGCGATCTCGTATATAAGAATATTCCTCAAACAGGTCTATGGCTCCGAACCGTAGTAAAGGGACCTCTGGCTAATACGTCGGGTTCCGTGTTGGGCTCGTAGCCGAAAACTAGCTTTACTTTGTTGTCTGGGTCAACTTTGATAGCAAGAGACAGAGAGAAGCATTGAAAGGCTGCTCCAAAAGGAACTTATTGTTTCGGAAAAAAACACGAACACAGTCGAGTCTTAATACTTTACTTACAACTGGGCTCGTCAGGCATTCTTGTTAGCTGCAGCGGTTATTATTATATTTACATGCTTCCAGCTCCCGTTTCTGGTCGGCGACAACTCGTATCTTCGACTCTCCAAGAAACGATTTTTGGAATATCAACAAATTAAATCCATAGTAAAAAAGAAATTTAATCCCAGTGAAGCTGAATTACAAACACCACCAAGTGTTGTGGAATTTTTTAACCTAAAAGCCCCCAAATTATTGTTTTAAATATACAGAACACTTTCTAAAATAGATGAATCAATATCCCTTCCTATTGCAAAATGGGAAGCAGATTTATCGATCAACTTAGACCAAAACTGTCAGGGTCCTGGGTCTCCTGACCCAGCGTTTTAGTTCTTTGTGATTTTTGTATTATTGTACTTGGTGTGAGTTTCTAGTTTTGATCCCTTGCCCTTCATGTTTCTCTATGTCCCCTCTGTTCTGTGTAAGTCTGTGTCTGCATGTTTGAGTTCCCCTCTGTGCCTCTCGGTTCTTAGAGTCCTCTGCCTTATGGTTTATGTCTCTGTGTTTC